TTAAATTACATTACTAAAGATAGATGAATTCCAAACAATGCCTGTGAAAATATATAGTACTATTTGTCTTATCGAGAGTGCTGTCGGCATTTAACCTGTTATTAGGTTCCATTCAGATGAAATATCGCTTGCCACTGACCAAAAAATATAAAAATAAAAATAAGGATGAAGTTGTGTGGGATGAAGCCAATCGAGCAGTCAAGGGTTCTATTGTTATTATAATTGTTGCAGTTATTATTCTGCTGATGTGCTGATGCACACACACACACACATATATATATACTTGGCTGTTGCTAGTCATCCTGTTGTTGGTGCTGCTGCAACAATTGCGGTCATGCTTCGTTGAATGGCAACAACAACGCGAACTGTGAGGATGATGATGACGACGTCGCTGCATAGGGCTGATTGAAAGATTATTTTGCACTGATAACGCTAAAAACGTATGGTTGGATGGTTGACCACAAACTACCACCAGCAGCAGCAGCACCACTACCACCACCACCACCACCACCACTAACAGCAACAACAAACAAAAGTCAAATAGAGCGAGCAAAAATTGCAGTTCGAAAATTGTTGCGCTTTCGGTTTGCGTGTTTGCATTTTGCATTTAGCATTTTATATTCATTGCGTTGTTTGGCTGTCCGTCGTCCGTTGTCCGTTGTTCAATGTCCATTGTCCATTGTCGGTTGTTGTTGTTGCTGCTGCTGCTGCTGCTGTTGGCTGCCGCTTGTCGGTTGTCTGCAACGCGTCGGGGTCGTCATCAATTCGCAATGCATTTCCCACATATTCAGCGACGTTCCGAGCGACCATCATCATTAATAATATTGAAAAGCCCTAATTACAGTTAAGTGGCCCAAACGACTCTTGCATGCGCGAAGGAGACAACAAAGAGCGAGAGAGAGAGAGAGAGAGAGAGAGAGAGAGAGAGAGAGAGAGAGTGGTCTATAGACAGATAGCGGAATGTATTGAACTAAGTCTCATATATAATAAAGGGTGCCACTGCCACGACTTCCATCCACAAGGAGCTGAGGCGCTGCACCGCTCGTTGCGTAAATCATTTTTCCCACCCCTAAAAGGCGAGCGTTCCTTCACCTGCCTGGACAAGGTGCCACAGGTTGTGCAGGTGCACGGACAAGTGCAGGCCCCTGACCCAGACACCAGAGGCAGGCTGATGAGGCCCCGAATGCTGATGACCCTTGCAATGCTATAATGAAATCATTTATAACTTTTCTTCAACATGACCAATCGAGTGTGTGTGAGTGTGTGTGTGTGTGTGTGCGTGACATGTTGTTTGTATTTTGCTGTCTGTTTTGGGCTCGTTTGTACGTAGTTTTCTTTGTGGCCAGGATCCGTTTGGCCCTCGCTAACTACTTCGAGTTCCTTTAGCCAGTGGCCCATTGATAACAGCGAGGCACTCGCACGTGGCTACTGCGCAGCTGCAACCGTCGACGCGTCGAGGCAGCTGAGAGCAGACGAGCAGCAAACGGAGGGGCATTTTCCAAACTAAGAAGACGTCCTGAACGAGCCGAAGATGACTCGCTTCAATGTGCTCGGAGAAATGTTAATATACATTTTTTATTATTTACATATTTCTATTTATTTTCGATTTGCAATTCACGAATTATTAGAAGAATTTCTCCCAAATATACACAGATATCGATGGCTATTCGATTAAACATTTGATTTTGGTATTCGATTTTTTTTTTTTTTTTTTTTTTGAATGATTGAAACTAATGTCATAATCACACATTTGAAGCTCATTAACAGAGTTGGCTTTGGTTTCTGTGCACGCGTTTATTGCTGCTTTACAATTTTTATAGAACGTATACACATTTATTTTGAGTTTATTATGTGACACCAAAAACAACAAAAAAATAACTAAAAATTGCTAATTGTTTTCTTAACGTATTTTTTTTTTCGGGAGCGAACGTAAATTTAACCGTTTGGAGTTCTTATATTGCGCACAGATATAAAAGAAATCTACATAGCCAAATTCAAAAGGTGCTTAGAAAAATGAACACGAATATATGGAACTCATCTCAAATGGCCGGCACTGGCGGCGCCCTCAAGGCGCTGGCCAAAAACCTGGCCAATCAGCTTAACCTAAATCGAACGGAAATGAAACGTGTTGTAGCACGCGTCATCTCGGAGTGCCATGGTCAGGGCCACGTGGGTGACTACAACGGACACATGTTCTATGTGAAGCCGGAGCGCATCGATATGACCAAACAGATAACACACTCGAAGGAGGCATTCGACGATATGTTGCAGCAGAAGCGAATGCGGTCCAAAAAGCCGCTGCCGCGCCCCCCTACCGCCTCTCGATCGCTAACCTATAAGATGACCGTCGACGGCAAGAAGGAGAAGAGCCTCACTGGCGTCATCATCGACCAGAATCATTTGCGAAAACGTGGCCAGCCGGCCGAGATCGTGGTCCAGATGTCCAAGTCGGTTACCAACAATAAGAGCAGGCAGGCGATCAAGCGCAAGCCAGCGGCTCAATCCAACAATCAGTTGCTCATAAAAAAGCAGCCAAGCGGTCGTCCGGCCACACTCAGCACGCCCAAGATCTTGAAGAAGTTCCAGAAGAAGCCGAAGATCGCTCAGCTAGTGCAACGGAAATCGGTGATCAAGAATGTCACGAAGATAACGAAACTGACGAAGCCCAAAGTTCTGATTGCGAAAAACCAAAAGTCCCGTCCGGCACTGCAGCCGGCCAAGTTGAGTCTGGCGCCGTCTCTGGCGCAGCCTCGGATGCGTGCCGGCAATGCTGTGCGCCCGTCCACGGTGGCCATGAAGCTGTCGCCGAAGAAGACGCGGAGCGAGCCGCCCAGCTGCCCCCGGACGCCAGTGCCCAGCGTAGCCCCACCACCCAAGAAGCCGGGCATCCTGAAGAAGTCCAAGAGTGTCAAGCTGCCGAGGGTGAAGAGCTCAAACAGCTGCCGCATTGTACCGGAGGAGAGGCCAAAGAAGAAATCGAAGCGCCTCACCGCCGGCGGCATCTATCCCAAGGTCAGCCGCACCAAGACTTCAGCGGCCAAGAAGCGCGAGAAGGTGCCCTGGCGCCTGGCATACAAGTTCCAGAGTAACGCCAGTGCTGTCTATCGGCCGAATCCGCCCGTCACAAAGCCGAAACTCAAGTCGAAGGCTACCCCAATACTGGTGAGCAAGTCCAGGCAGCTGATGACAGCGAACAGCTGTCGGCGCTTGCGCTTGAAGCGCTCGCAGGCGCGCATGGCCAAGGATTTGGAGCGGGACGAGGCTATCGATGATCCGGAACGCTTGGAGGCCGGCAGCCTGCACAACTCTCGATCTCGAGTCATTCCAAATCCAAAGCATAAGGTCAAGCGGCCGTACAAGATCAGCGCACGGTTGTTGGAGCTGGCGCAGCCATCGCTGCATCGCCGATTCGTGCCGCAGCCGGCGCCCCAATACAACCGTCCGCCCGTGTTCAAGCCGAAGCATAAGCTGAGGCCGCGCCGTCGACGAAATCGCGTCATCGTCGACAGCAGCCTGGGCAGCATTGAGGGTATGCGGCCCACCTCACGATCGGGCCTGTCGCCGGCCAAGCGTAATCTGACGCTCGCATTTATGAACAAGGAGGGTCCACGTAGTCCCCGCACTCCGCGCCCTAGACGCAGCGTCCTATGGAGGTAGTTGTTATTAAGTAGTTAGTTTAATTCCTGCTTGCGGACGTACTCCACACATGCGGAGCTCGTCCATTGTCCTGTAACATTTTCGCAGACACCTAAATAAATTTTGAAGTTATGACTGAAGTGAGTCACCAAAAAACTATCAGAGAGTGGAGTGCAATGCCAAGTAGCACCGGAAACTCGATCAGGCATTGCAGCAATTTTGAGTAAGCTAAAGCTGAGCTAGAGCAGCAGAATCAGAGTCGATCTGTCTTCTTTCCCGGACCAAGCGTTCCACTCATATAGCTATCGATCTTTGATGAAAGCCGGCTATATCTGAAATGAGTATATCATAATCGAATCGTTATTTGAATATATAATCTAAGAGCTCAGGGCTTTGTATCATTTGCGCTTTGCTTTGCTGGCGTTCACTCGCGAGCCAAAAAAAAGAAACAACAACAAAAAACAGAAGTTAAAAAAAAAATGGCTTGAAAGGGTGTTCGGAATCATTTAAGCATTGCGGTGTGAAATTTCACACCGATTGCAATAAAAATTCAAGCGGCCAACAATAAAACGGGCTGCGGCAAGAGAAAGGCGCTACATTGAAACAGAATCAATCAAACTGGGGAACGATCGCGGCCGAGGCAGGGACCCAGGTCTGTCGACATCTGCGCATGCGCCGGATGTGAATGTGTGTTGTTGTTGTTTGGTAGCTGGGCCAGTCGATCCGGGCCATGTTGAGGCGGCGTTAATGGTGTCACTAAGTACGCCGCAAACAGACCAACAGACCAACAGACCGACAGACCGACAGACGGACAGACGGGCAGACAAACGAGACACACAATTGACTGAGGACTGACGACTGGCACACCGGACGCGCGTTTGGCCCTCAGCTGAACGTCTGATCATCGAATGGAACCAATAAAAGTTGCCTTCATTGTCTTCATTTGCGCGGGTCGCGCGTCTGTGCGCAGCCTGCACTCAATGTACTCTCATATGCTCGCACTCATTTCCATTAGCATTTCATTCAATTTGCATTCTGTTGGCCGCGGGTCGCGGACACTGTACGGTTGAATGGTGCTGCGGCTGTTGCGGGTGTTGCGGGCACATGCAACCAAAACAATTCAATTGTCCGCCTGGTTGGGTATTTTTTAGTTGTTGTTTTTGTTTTTCTTGGTGTTGGCTTTCTTGTTTTGTAGCTGTCAGTTGCGGTACATTGCATATCACACATTAGCGATGTGACAAATCCGATAACGATAACAATGACAACGTCAATACATCGCATTTGTCTATCTCATTCGAATTGCATTGGAATTGATGATGAAAAAGAGTTAATTTGATTGCATATAGCTCGATATGACTCGATAGGGATTGCATTGAAATCGATGTTAAGGAACAGAAATGCTTTGCTAGGTTTGTAAATAGAGAAGTGCAACAGCGCCAGTAGCTGTTAAGGCTTGAATTCTAGCTGAAAAGCTGTGCAAGATATTTGCCAAATAGAGAGTAGATTTAGTTATTAATATGTAAAGATATGGATTGATCTCATTGGAGTTCAAACCATCCGGCTATTGTTAGTTATTGCTAATACATTTGCGTATTGCAAATAGAAATAGAAATAAAAGAAATAATAATATTTTTTTTTTAAGGCATTCAATTCAAATATTTTGGCGAATCAGTTTCTTTCAGTCTTCTTGGCTTTTTTAAGTCTCTTGTGCTGTAATTTCGACCTATTATTCTTCAAGTACCGAAAGCACCTGCTGCCAGTGCTTAGCCCTTGTTTAGATTAAATTTTATATTAATGTTAACTTGTTAATAAATAAATAAATAAATTCTTCAATTTTGTATACAAAGTATTTTCAGATTTGCAAAACCCAATGCAGTAATACGACGGAGAGTGGCTAAGGCAGATCCAATCAACACTTTTCCCTCTGAGAACTTTTATCTTATGCAGCCGAATCTCACAATCATATCTGTCAGAGCTTGTAGACCTGGTTATAAAACCCAGTTTAGCTGCTGTTTAGCCATTTATCTAGAACCTCATAATATCGATAATGGCAGACGGAAGTTAATTGATAACTCAATGTGTCTAACTTGTTGCACAGCGCAGAGGTCGAGTCTAAGTCGATCTAAGTGCCCACCTCGCGACCCTTACATGCATTCCCTAGCTAGAGCGGATCCGCTAAGTGCCCGCATATTGAAACAGTCGCTGGAGTTTGAGTTGAAGTTGAAGTTGCACTCGCACTGGCATCGAGTAAATGTTAATTGTGTCTGCAATATTTTTTCCAATGAAACATTTTTATGTTAATTCGAAAAATTGTTTTACAACCAATTAACTTAGCCAATGCACCAAAAAGATCAACGGACAAGATCGTTCACTCGGCAACAACAACAGCAACAACAACGGCAACGACAACGGCAGCGGCAAACTGGGGAACTGGGAACTGGGAAATGGGAACTAGCAAGTGAGGGTGAGGGTCATCAGGGTGAGGGATAAAAGGCCAGCGGATCGCATTGCATTGCATGCCGCACGCCGCTCGGAATTTCATTACGCGACTGTCAGTTAGCTCAACCAGAAGTCAGCCAGCGGGCAGGCAGGTGTACAGGCAGCCACCACTCACTCGCTCGCTCGCTCTCGCTCTCTCTCTCTCTCTCTCTCACGCTCTCACGCTCTCACTCTCTCGCTCTCTCTTTCTCTCCTGCTGTCCGTTGGTGGTTGTTAGGGGCGCTGCTCAGTGCGGGTCCTCAGTCCTAGGCTCGCTCTAAATCAATCAAGCGCAACAAACGCCAAAAACACAAACAATTTCAATTAAAATGCCAGCGTAGCCGCCACCGCCACCGCCAAAGCCACAATAAGTCCACTCTCGCACCCCTCCCCCGCCGCGGCGGCTGTAATGAGGAGAGCGCGCGCTCTGCAGCTACAGGTGCGATCGCCAGCAGCTCCTGACCCCCGACTGCCACCGACTGCCGCCGACTGCCAACTGCGGTCGTGTAATGTAATTAGGAAGTTATGCAAGGGTCGCCGTCGCTTCAATCGAACCATCGATCGCTCCGTCGATCGCTTCACATTTAAATGCGATCGTCGAGGTCTAGCGAATAAAGTCATTGCGGCAGCTGCTAGGGCATTTCGTTGCTTGTTTTGATGGCTCCTTCAGCTGGCCTCTGCCGTCAGCTCCTCAAGTGGGCATTCGTGATGTGCAGGTTTTTCCGTTTCGACCGATCAAATGTTGTTTCCCATGGCCGCAGCAGCAGAAGATCTTCATTAGTTGCGTGGCGCGGCTATCGAGTTGACAGATCAGCGCTTTGCGCAACTGCTCGACATCCTTAGAGAGAAATATATGATTTTTGTTACGTTTCGCCATCTTTTGGCTCCTGACTAACTGAGATCTCCGCCCTGCCACCCCCCTTGGCTAACCCAGCTGGAATGATATACGAGGAATGCTGCAGCTAATCTAGCGCTGAGCATCGAAGTCACGTTGTTCTCAACTTTGTTGTTGTTGTTGTTGACTGGGTTGGTTGGTTGGTTGGTTGGTGTCTCTGGTTTTTTTTTTTTTTTTTTTTTTTTTTTGTTATGCTTTTTTTCTGTGCCATTTTGAGGCGGCGTCCACGACGACGACGGAGACGACCACGCACTGGAGCCGACTCTTCTATGAATCTATGGAAACTAGGCAAGCTAATTGCGTTCCGTCAACGTATAGGTGAATTATTATAAAGAAGCCATAAAAAAATTATTATAGCCAACTGACGGCTCAGCCCCACTCGCTGATCGCGGTGACGATAAACGTGGCAACAACAATAACAACAACAACAGCACGAAATCAGAGCTCGTTAAAAAAAATAACAAAGCAACAACAACAACAACAAAATAAAATAAAAACACTCTCAGGTTGAACCAATCAAAAGACGCGCAGTCGACGTCGCCATAAAAGCAGCGCGAGCAACAACAAGAAATTATTATTAAAAAAAAAAAAAGATGAAAAAGAGGAAGAAGACAATATGTATATACACACTCAGAGGCATATAGTAGCTATAAGAGTTGGGGTATCATTGGAGAATGGCAAATGTGTATATCAAAAATTGGCTAATGTTGCCAAAAGTCAACTATATCTCTACAAACCTGGTAGATGGTACGAGTAAACATAATTATA